ACGCAGCATCCAAACAATGTTGTTGACCTAATGCTCTTCCAGTTATATTGCCATGTTGCATCTAACCCCAATGGAAACGCAGCATCCAGACGACTTTCTACAAGACCAGACGACTTAACACAAGTGCTAGTAGGTTCATTGAGGATTATTGGACCACAATAGTGATCAATCTTTGGAGTCTCTTTTGGTTTTGGAGTCTCTTTCCCAAAACGTTGACATTATGCAATATACATAGGTCCAATTGCAGTGGGGGGGCGGCTAATGCAAAACACAATTCTCATGAGAACGGGTTCTCATGGATGTGCTATTTCAGGGCAACAATTGGACCACTTCTCCTTGGAGGCATGGAGGCCCGAAATGATGATGACATATGATGACAAATGACTCGTACGTATGACGGACGGGCCGGGACGTATAGGTGTCAATCAAAAAGAAACACGGGAGACGCCCAACCAATCGAGTTTGGTATGGTCTAAGTCTATGTCTATGTCCTTTCTTCCAGGGGGTCGATCCGGGAGGTCTCAATGCACACCTAGTAGCTTATTGTTCCTAATAGCTTCTTGTTACTACTAGTAAGGCACTTGTTACTAGTAGCGTGGCACTTGTTACTAATAGCTTCTTGTTACTACATATGACTTCTTCCGATCTTGATTGCCGGCCTGCCCAGCTCTCCCGGCGCCGAGCACGCTCTCCCGGCCGCTGTAGAAGTTGTGCGCCCAGCGAGGGCGCTAGTTCGGTGCCCTCGCACGACGTCGCGCCAAGGCCTTGGTGGCATGGCATCGGGCGCCGAGAAGCAACCAAGAAGAACCAACAGATTCTCTAAATCATTTTCCCTAAATAAACAGAAAAAGTAGATCTTCACTAATAAATTTATACTAATTACTAATAATGTATTGGAAACCATACCACTATCTTTTTTGGGGGGACCACTCTAGACTCTAAATGTTTACAGTGGGAAAACCACAGCAAACCATCTATTTGAAGCCATCCTGGACGCGTGCCGGGTGTCCTTGAAACATTTCAAGCTGGGTGGGTTGGCGGGTTGAGTAATTAGTTGATGGCCGCGCAGGACCCAATCCTCACGATGTAGAAAAGTCGTCGTCCAAAACCTTGGCTTGGAACTTTGAATAGCTCCAATAGCTCCTCTCGTTGCTTCTCCACTTCGTGGTGAAGGCGACTCGAACCAAACATCTGCAACATTATGCGAATTATGCGACACTCACTCACTCACTCACTCTCTCTCTCTCTCTCTCGTCCGAAAAATGTCCATGCATGTTAGCAAATGTTCCAACTGATTCGCCATATGAGAACCGCCGACGGCCCAGCTGTTGCGCCCGAGACACGAAGCTACAAAGCATGTGGCCGTGGTGGCGTAAGCGGCCAAAGCAGCCAAGGCCACCACGACAGCTACACGACTTCGGCGCGCCATGGTGCCTTTGGTTGAAAAAATATTGGTGTATATCTCGAACTAGTCAAAAATAACACAAGTCCTGTCTTTTGGTGTTTCTTCCTGCGACTTCCGACTTCCGTCTGGTTTTGGGCAGATGTTAGGGATGTGCCATCTTGAGGTTGCGGTGTCCAGCCTGCCGTGAGACCAATGCGACCGAGCAAGACAAACCCAACGGTAGCGGACCAAACTGATTGCTTTGCGAAAGCCATTGGGCTAAATGGGCAACTTGGTTGGAAAATCAAAGGCTGAGAACAACTGTATTCTGTCTGAGCTCTGAATGTCGAGCACAAAAATCAAATTGGTCAGAAATCAATTTGGGACTGTCAGTTCATCGGGGCAGTGTCCAACCCATTCCTGGGCACGCCTCTTTGCGCACCTTTTGTGCAATCATCTCTTTGCCACCTCTTCAGTGGCTTGGAGAGCTGCTGCTCAGGTGGTGAGCTGCAAAGCCTGCAAGCAGGGCCCAACTGGACTCTAGACACTTTCTCTGCACGGGTGAGCTGAATTTTATATATACAATTCTTATTAAAATTCTCATATACGTGTGGTACACAGCCACCATGGTGATTCACCCTGGACAGTCTTGGCATGTGCCCAGCAAAACCCAACCGTCAAACCACTCCAGATCCTAAGGAGCCCTTGCCGGTCACCGGCTTGACTCATTGACCAAGCTTGGCTCTGGCACCGTGAACGAACGTTGACAGAACTAGGCTTTCGAGGGAGAGTAAGTCCGGTAGGGGCAAACCCGAAGCACCAAAACAAGTGGTGCAACATGGTGCGACTTTGAAGAGTCCAAGAGTTTCAACATGAAGCATGTGAATTGTAGGGAACCCAAGGTGTTTGAGATTGAAAAAGACTCCAATAGACATTATTATTGATTATTGTTTTCACATGAATCGGAAAAATGCTGTGCTACAATCGAGAAATTGCTCGAAAAGATAGGGCATACGCCAAAATTGCGGGAAAATGCAAATGTGAGCTCCACAAGTATGAAAGGAGAAAAAATGAAAGCTTCCTTTGACAATCAAAAATACTGTGTGTCATTAAGTAAAAAGTCTTCTAATTCAATCAAAAACCACATACTAGGCTACCACACACTATAGTGAAGTCAAATCTACCATTAATTTCATCTAGGGAGGTAAGCCAGAGAGTCCTAGATAGCTTCTCTGCAAATTGTTTCACAACAACCAGCTAGGATCTCAAACCGAGTGATCTACCATGATCTACCGCCCCTTGTGCCGCCACTAGAACTCTACCATGGCCCATGGATCCGTTCCACGCCGCCGCCGCTTTTCTTCGAGACCGTCGGTCGACTTCGTTTGGTCCAGGGCCGTGGTGGGCGGCTTTTTTTGCCTCTCTTTGGATAGACCTTTCAGTTTGAAGTCACTGAGTTAGTTCGGTTCTTTCCATGTCTTCTCTAGATTCCTATCTTCATGACCTTTCTTGCTTCCTTCCTTCCTTTCTTCCATGGGTTGGGGGCTTCCATCTGCAACAAACGGCTCAAAGTCATTCAAAATCGAATTACTCATAGTTACGTTCCCCTGCTCTCAGCAAGGCGTCTGTCAAGGAGAAACCCAAAAGAACGATCATTCGGAGCTGCACTTCTACCCCCAACTGAAGAACTGCATCAGCAGCCATACTAGCACTGAATAGGACAGCACAGCACCCAAATGGACCCAGACTACTTAATCTAGTGCCATGGTGCGTGAAGCCACGTATTTCACCTCCAAGAATCCACTCAACGCTCTACGCTCTGCCGACATGCTTCTTGCTCGGCCCCATCCCAAACGGGGAAAATCGATTAGCACCTGCCAAAGTTTTTGGCCGTGCTCTGAGCAAAGGATCCTTCCTACTCCCTGGCCTACGTCGGGGTATGCCAAGGTCTTCCTGGTGACTCCTTGAGAAACGAATACCGCAGGCCAGGGGCCTATGGGCCAGGTCACCGCCAGTGGTCAGCGCTGACGCGGCCGATCGCAAGTCACACGTCTTCGGACATGGAACGACAAAAGTGCCCATTCTGCTTTCCATGATTCCCTCGGATGACCGCAATGAAAAGGCTCCGTGAGGGCATGGTAGGGGGAGCCACAAAAGCTGCTTCCAAGCGTGGATTTAGGGCGTGAATGCATGGTCGTCGCCGATCTCAGTTTTGCGTCACAAACAGCGCCAGCTGCTGGAGGGAAGCTGGCCTGGCATGAGAGCTTCAACTGTGGAATCAGGGCACACGTAAGTAGAATCTGGATTAATGAAATGCCCTGGATTGACAATTGAAACACCACTATGCCTTCTTTCCAGTGGTCTTCTTCAGAGAGCCCCTTAATTATCGAGAGCTGTCCAGATTAAGTCCGGGCAAATGTTGCAAATTCACTAGCATATCATACCTGCATATCTCCCTGAAATTCCAAAGATTAACAGAATTGTCAGACTAGTGTGCTGCTAAGGGTATGCCGGCTCCGGCAGAGACATGGGAAAACTTGGCGACCCATGAAACAAGTCGGTACCAAAAAAAAGAACAAGTGGCTGTCAACAACATAGAGGCGGGGATTGTGACCAAGTGCGTAGCAGATTTCATGTGGTTTGGTCTAGTTGCACAGTATTTATGTCGTCCCGAAAGCTGTGAATCCATTCCCTTGAGCTTCTTACATTCTTACCAATTGAAAGCTCCGCGGCTCCCTTCGGGCGCACTTCACGAAGTTGTCCGAGAGCCGCAACAACGTTAGGCCGTGCATCATGTCGGCACCTGAAGAACCAGTTTTCACATAGAAATCTCTAAGTTGAAGACTTCTCTCCTCTGTATAGAAGCTGTATACACAGCATACACCAGGACCTTCCAACAGTTCTCCTCTGGAGGCTTTTGTAAACGTTTAAAGTCGCAGGTGGTAGCCTGTTGGAGGGTGCTATATATATATATACGTAACTTGGTGCTTTGGGCTTTGGGAAGGTTCTCTGGAAACCTCTACCCACTTTCAGACTTCTCTTTCAAAATCTGGAGACTGCTCACTAGAAACCTTTGCTCTTGGGTACTTTTCTCTAGATATCTCTGCCTAAGGATTCTTTTCTGTAGAACGGAGGCGCTTCTCCAGAAATCTCTGCTCTTGGAGACTGTTTTCTGGAAATCTCGTGTTGGTCTATTTTCTATGGAAAAAAACTGAAAATTTTGGGGGAATCTATGGAAATCCGATGAAAGCTCTACTTTTGGTCCCGTTTCTCTCACATGTCTGCTGACTTTCCTCGAACCTATACTATCGGGGACAATTCTCAAACGTTTCTCTAAAACATGCTAGCTGCTGCTCAAGGATGTTCAAGCCCTAACGAATCCCGACAATACACGGTAGAACCTCGATTCCACTCTGTCTGCTGTAACTGTAACTGCTTCTTGACCGGCTATCCCCCTGTACATCCCTGTACCAACCTACGCAGCCCAAAACGCGCTGCACCAAAATCGATGTCAGGGGGTGCGCTTCGCCTCAGCACCTCGGGACCTCACCACCTCGCGCACCATTTTCCACGAACCGAACCGACCGAAACGACCGAACCGACCGAACAGTCATGGTTTGGACCGTTGAGGACCGTTGAGGACTAAGACGACGACCGTTTTGGCACCCCAAACAGTGGTGTTTTTTCCGCGTGCTGACTAGAACTGCTTGGAGCCAAGGAACTTTTCCCTCGAGACTTGTGATTTGAATCCGATGGATCCGATGAGTTACGGTGAATTGATGAGCTTTGCTTGTTGCTCAGCTCAGCTAGCGAACGAAAGTATGGTAGGGATTGGTAGGGTGTTTCGGAAGCGTTTTGTGGTTTCATCCAAACTTCTCTGGCAACATCTCGGACCCGTCCGGGGGCCCGTACCCGGCGAGAAGCTCCGGATCTGCTTCCCGATCTGCGTGAAGGCCCACTGGCTGGTCGCCAGGTCGAACTCTAAGGCATTTTCACCTGCCCAATGGCTGACTCATGCTGACTCCCTCGGATTCCTCCGGAAAAGCAAGGCTAGCATTCTTCCACCAATCCCCCGAAGAGGATAAGAAAATTAGGAGTGCTGTATATACAATATATCCATCTCGTTGGACATGTGGCAGAGAGGCGCCAATGGAGAATCAAATGATGACTTGATGATCACTGATAGAACAAGAAACGTAAGAAACAATGACTCAACACCAGGCGGTTCCCTTCGAGCGAGTCCCTTGACAACACATGGACACGCATTTTGTAGTTGTTCACTGGAGTGGCGATCGTAAAAAAGTGATGTCCCGAGTCTGCCAACAGATTTTTGACCTAGTGGTCAAAGAGACATCGTTGCTCCCTCAATCCAATCATCTACGGCCATGGTTTCCTCAGCAGGGCGCAGCACTATCACACCCGTGCCCACAATGTTGGTGGTCCAGCGAAAGCCATCCTAGCGAACTGTCTGACAAATGCAAAGAGCGATGCACAGAATGGTGTTTTCAACATGAATGCCCAAAAGCGAACCCAATGGCCTGCCAGTGGCACCTGATGGAAAATGGCCGCCTTCCGCACTTGGGCAATGAGGTCCTCACCGGACATCGATGCACCAGACGAGGGAAAACGAGGCAATGGTGTCCTGAACCAACAAAGAGTTCTGAATCGGGGTGTTGGGGGACAGTTCCTATTCATTCTCCTGGCTCCCTGCTTTGCATGGCTCACACACCAACCCTCTGATTCTGCCAATAAAGTCTGTCCTCGGGTGCCGAGAGCGCTTTTGGGACGCCGCCTTGTGCAAGGAGACGCAAGGCAACTCCCCAAAAGCCACAGAAATGACCCGGGAGCCCGGGAGGCTAATGACAGCGATCATGGGGAGGCATATGTATGCAGTGTTGCACATGGCTGACATGGCTCATATGCCATAGACCGCCTTCGGTGATAGTCTAGTTGAAATCTAGCCCAACTCCAATAAACTACAATACTGGAATTATAGGGAGTAGGTAGGTTCTTAGATGGCAGTATCTTTGGATTATCTATGACGGATCACTTGGCACATCTTCATCGTCACCGGCTTCTTTCTGTCCTTCCTTCCTTCCTTCCTCCCTTCCCTTCCCTTCCCTTCCCTTCCTTCCTTCCTTGTTTTTGTTGCTGTTGTTGTTGTCAGTTGTTAGTTGTTCGCTGGCCTCTCGGTCACCAGTGCCCGCGGTAAAGCAGGACCAACAGCACTCTTCAGTGGCCCGAATGCAGTAAGTAGTACAGTATATAAAACTATACATGTTTTGCCTGTAATTGCCTGTAGGCCAGCCCTTTGTTGGGCTTATTCACCGTGTTCACTTTGAGCTTCCGGTTTGTGATGAATGTCCTTGGGAATGGTGCTGGAGAAGACCTGGTCCATGCCGTGTCATGATTCAATGCCCACTCACGCCCTCAGGACCTCGCAAAGAAAATGCATGCCGCGCTGTGAGGTCGGCATACATTAAAGTTACCAGCACCATCCACCAACCCTCAAGGGTCACCAATATGAAGAAACAAATTTGGACACCCCTTGGCAGGTCCAGTGGAACCTGGGAAGGGACCAGCAGAGGGCCATGGTTTCCTCACCTCACTTTTTGGGGGGCGCCCTTGGGCGTCCAGGCTATTGGAGTCGTTGGTCATCTCCATGCAGGTAAAGTTGAAAAGGATCGGCCTGCGGCGTTGGCCCAACCCCACGGGAACAACAGGTGGCACCCGATCCGTTGAAGGCCAGGTGCTTCCATGCGAACGTTTGAGCAGGACTCATGTGGCACACTGAAATGCACCTGGGATCTACAAGTATAGCAAGGCGGCCCTGCCGATCAGGCAAGATTGATGCTTCATACTGCAAGGATACTTCGCATCAACCACTATAATGGGACATAATTTGATGGAATGTTAATGGATGAGTTATATAATGATGATTGATGGCTTTGTCTGTGGGTCACTGTGGGTTGGGTCGTCGAGTCTAGATGTACGGACTCCACGCGGACGCCTTTGAGCCGTTTTGGACTCTGCCCCCAGCATCTTCGCAATCTCCATATAGGCATCCGCCTGCTGCATCCAGGCTTCAGGAAGCTTCATAGCTCTTGGTGGTTGGTGGGGGGGTTAAGATCATTGGGCGTTCATGGTTGGATCTTGATCCCAACAGTCGCTAGTGACGAGCAAGTAGTAGTCCATCCACGTCAATAGCGGCTAGCTGGTGCAAGCAGCAGTCCCTCCCTTTTTGGTTCGCCCAGCCCTGCGTACCGCTGAGTCGCTGAGTGTTTCTCAACTATAGGGCCACCCGGGGTGTTCACAAATACTGCATTCCCAAGGCGAGAAAGACCTAGTGTGATCATGTATCATGTGTGATCCACAGGTGGAAAGTGATCTCTTCTTATGTGCCGTACCTTTGTATCTGCATATCGTACGCTTGGCCATCTCCACAGTGGAATTGGAGGCTGTGGCCTGTGGCTAGGCAAAACATCCTGTTCCTTCAACTAGGCTCCTGTTTCACGGTGCCATGCTCACCTCTTGAGGTGCCCGTTTCAGAGGCTCCTCCACCCTTGAAACAAAAAACCATTCGACCAAACCCTATGCCAAAGGAATCGAATGCATTGCACAGCTTTAAAAAAATCGGTTGTATACCAGAACATCTTGCTTCGGCTTCGCCCTCAGGTGGAGTGGGCGCAAGCAAACGCCGAACAGCCTCTCCACGCCGGCTACGCCGAGATCGGCCCTCCCACTCTCCCGCCGTCTCGCTGGTGCAGCAGTTGTAGCCGGCGCACGCCTGCCGCGGACGGTCGAACAACAGCATGCGCGGAGGATCGGAGGATGAAGACGCAGAGCCGGCGATGTGGAAATGTGGTACATCGGTGACTTTCACAGTGGGTGAAGAGGTGAGACATGGTGAGGACATACAATGTGAATCCAAATCTGAAATGGTCTCAAAATCATCTTAAATCCTTAGTGCGTGAGGATGCACATCATAAAAGTGCCTCATATTAAAAAAAGAACTCTAGTTGGACTTCTTGCGACTCTTCTTGGCGAGGTGCCCCTTTCCAGTACGGCTCGGGCACGGCTCGGTGACAGGTGTTTTGATGGTCCAGGCGTCTTGGTATCACCACCTGGATCTGTCCAAACGTTGGGATCCGTACGGCTCCCTTGACTCGGCCACTCGGCTTCGGCCCGGCGAGGCGAACGAGCGAACGCCAGGGGTTTGGAGGCCCACCCTGAAAGGACATGAAAGGAGATACATCTGTGAGCTTGGTGGTACACCGTAACACCTTGTTCAACTCAGGTCCACCTAGAGAGCCTATAAGTGGCTTTTCGAAAACCAGGAGACCTGGCCGTGGCCTACAAGGGATGCATGTTGTAACTGATCAACCCAAAGTAGTGGGGCATGTTAATGCACACCATTCTTTACGTTTCTGTACTACATTAAGATCAAGAACCTCACGGATAGAAACCGGATTCCCAGTGCAGCAAACAGCATAAACATGTTTTGCTTATATCCAGATATCCAGATGTTTTTCATCTGACACAGGTCCCGAGGAATTGGGAGAGACTCTGAGTCTTGGTCCTCACTCGGGGAGAAAACTCAAAGTCAAAGCAAATGATGTCAAATTGTAGAGCCACCGCATGTGCGCACGCAAGAAGGATGAAAGGTCACAGCATGACACCACAGGTTTCATAGATTGTTTCATGTTTCATGGCACCATCTAGTCTATAATTAGTGGTTGAACATGCACGACAAAGCGCAAACAAGCCCCGCTGCAACAACATGCTGATCTAAGTCTTTGGTGTGCTGCGAAAAGGACTGCACCGGCCGTTGGATTCGCGCCTCCGTCGCACGCGAGGGATGTGTGACCTGAGACATGGCCAGGGCCGCCGGGGGGCGAGCAAGCCTCACTGGCACTCACCATGGAGGACATGTCGACATGACATGTCCCTGGTTTGGCCGAAAGGACTTAGGACAGTGGCGCTAATTACCGTGGCGAAGGGGAACACAGTGACTGGCCTTTTAGGGAAACCTGTGGGAACCTCACTGGCGACCCACCCCGCCCTCCATGCGCCGGCTTCTGCAGCAAACCAGGCGACCGGACGTGCCAATGAAGCCCGGAGACCTTCACCGAGAAGCAGAACTTCTCTGGGGGGTAGACCTGAAAGGGCAAAGGTCGATGCGTCGGGGATGCGCAGCTGAGACGCCTTCACCAAGAAAAAAAACTCCTGAAAACTGAAAACCTCCTTCCCCCCCACCCTTCATGCCACCTGTGGGCGTGCTACCCCCTTGAGTGCCCCATCCCAAACGCTCCAGCCTGACATCCCGGTGCCCCAGCGGCACCGGTCTTCCGCACTGCTGCGGTGGCGGCCGCGAGGACTTGCTGACCTCGGTCTGGGCACCGCGGCCTCGCCGTGGGGGTTTTAGAGGTCCAAAGGTCCAAAGGGCGTGGACCTACGGTGTCAGCTCGGCGGTGTCTTCTGCAACCAGTGGATGTGTTTTTGCTTTGGACACACCATTAGTGAGCATTTAGACAAAAGAGGCTCATGTCGGCGTGGGCGGCACAGCTCAAACACCAAAAGCAGTCTGACCTCTAGTCTCCAAACCAAGGGCTGAAAAGTTGTGAACCTCAACCCAAGGCTGCTATTGATGGCTGGGCTCATCAATGAAGTATGAATAATGGGTGAATGGTGTGCAGCCAAAGCAAGGCAAATTCATGATCAAGTCTCCAACGTCCTTCCCAAGAAGGCCTACGGGCCTTTGTTCCAAGGCCGTGATAACTTAAACCTACATAGAAACAGTCAAGACTGAGGCCACCGGCCATGCTTGATCAGCACGGAGGAGTACCACTCTAGGAAGTCCTGGAAAATCACGCTCGCCCATGAAACAACTGGCGATGCACGAAGCTGGCGCGTGTGCCAAGTGGCCCAGCAGGCTTTGCTATAGGCTTCAGTCAGGCTTCAATCAGGCCTCGACCTCGAAAACATCCCGGACCCTGGTCAAACCACAAAAATCACTGTATAAAGCCAACGATAGCCAACGGGTCTCCCTTGTACCAACCGGCTCGTCTCGAGACGACCGTCGGTCCGACCCCGTCGTCCTTGCCCTTGCCGCTGCGGAAGCCGGTGCTGGCGGGGTCGGGCGCATTCGCTCGGAACATCGGCACGTCGTCGGGCCTCGGAACGCCCGAGGGAGGATGAAGTCCGATCAAGGAGGTCAGACGGTGGGCCCTGGGAAGCCATTTTTGGAGAAGACTTCGGACCATACTGACTGGTGGTTCACTTGGGGGTATCGGTATGCCCTTTATATGATCTTTATGAATCAACCAGCCAGTAGTAAAAGGCAATCTATGTGTCGCGCTATAATGATAATGTCCAGCCACGAATGTTCTAGGTGCTTCATGTTTTTCGGGAATTCTGGAAAACACTCCGCTGGGCCATCCCGGCATGGCATTCTGATCCTCAGGAAAGCCCTCCGGAGGCCCTGCCTCGCCAGTGTCTGCCTGGCGTTGACCAGCAGTGGCTGAAATTTGGGGTTTCCACGTCTTGTCGTGCGGCCATGATTCATGATCCACCGAATCCGACCTTGAGCATCTTCAACATGCCGCTGTCATACGCCATAATAAGGCCTACACCAGGCCAGTTCCAGCCGTTGGACCTGGTGCGCCCGGCGCCGGGCGCGTGCTTCGCTGCGCCACATGACTTTTCGAGCTCCGTGGCACCATCTATAGAATTCGTGGGGAAGGATGGCACCATGTTGGCTACAAGAAACCCCACCACCAAAGGGGGATGGTCATCGCCGTGATCAGTTTGTACCACGAACCACCGCCTCGCCCAAACCTGCGGGCGCGTCCGGTGTCTCGTCTGGGGCGTCCCGGCATCATGTACGAAGGGTACCGCAGCTCGCCGCAGGGCCCCATGCCCACCTCCGATTCGAAGGGCTCGTTCAGCATATATTTTGGATTCTTCAGATTCGTGAGGGGAGGTGTAGGGAACAAGAACCTGTGCAAATACGCAGCCAAGCATTTTCCAAACGAGAGGCCACTCCAGACAAGAAACGTTCGAAACCTTGAAGGTTCTCCCAACCTTGACAAACCTTGAGATTGGCCTCCCTGGCTCCAAATGCAAAAAATTGGGATTGCTCCGAGCAATTAGATGGGTATATAATCGGGTCTTTTGCCTGAGGCTGTCTGCCCGAGGCTGTCGCTTGCTATCCCCAGTCCCTCGCAGATCGCAGGGTATCTCCCCACCAAGGCCGAGACCTATGTAAGACTTCTTCCATGTGGAGAACCCCGATTGACAAAAATGGATTTCTTCTCACGCACAAAAAAAAGACTCATTTCAGGAACAAAATCCTCTCGTCCCCAGGCTTTCCAAAAATCACACTTTGAGGATTTCACTGATGCCGGCGTGATGGAAAGAGCAGGGAAGAGCGAGGGGAGGATACATGAGAATCCGAAATTCACTTGGGGATACTTGGGGCAAGTTGGCTTGGCTGCAGGCAAGAAGAGTCGGACTTATTCAAGTTAAGCTAAGCCAGGCTAAGCCATGAAGCGAAGGTCAGCCCAAACCAATCAGAATCATCAATGCCACGGCAGTTGTTTCGTGAAACTTCAATGTGCGCTTGGCAGCGACTTCAAACAGTCCAGGTCGCTGGCTGGCCTGCAACTCGCAGATGGTGTTTCCCACATGACTACCCATGAACTTCAGGAAGGCCGTCATGTAGTCCTCTCGTCTTCCAGTGGAGGGTCGTGGGATGAGAGGCAACGGCCAGATGCTCGACCTATTGATGTGTTAAACTGGACTTCAGGGAATGAATGACTTGCACATGAGGATATGCAAGGATGTGTAATGTGATTCTCGCCTGCCCATCCTCCCCTGATCCATCCGTTTCGCCCATCTGTCCTGGTAGCATTGCAAAGCTGTTCTAGTGCCAGACTTGGAGGGAAAGATCTTTTCGTTATCAGCAGAGAGGGACAGGCAGTCCTGCCATCAGTCCGAGTCTCTGGGCGAAGGCAAGGCCAATTGCCCAAGGGTAGATGGTGTTCTGGCACTTAGTAAGTGCACTCCGCAAAAGCAAAGGAACTTCGTCCAAACATGTGGGGTGGACACGCTCATCCCTCAATGCACCCGGAAAGCATATGGAACTTTGATGAACTTTGCACCCAACGACCAAACGATTGGCATTCAGCCCACTGTGGCCCCGAGCCCGCGGTCCCAAGCATGCCCGCGAGGAGCCGTGCAAGAGAACCCTATCAAACACTTGCTTTGTTGATGACGTCACTGTTCAGAACTGTGGCGAGCTGGTCCGGCATTCATTTCGCAGAAGAACAATCCCTCCAAGCATACCTATGTTCAATAAAGACATGGACGTGAAATCGTGGGGAGATCAGGACAAGTTTGTTGAACATCAACGGTACAATGAACATCCCATAAAAGCGACCGCATCGATACCATCCCTGCCTCGGCCACCACGCCATCTTTGCCTGACATCATTTTGAGATCGGTGGGCCCCCTGCGTGTCTGGTCCCACGTCGTTGAGTGACCCTGGAAGAAGTATATATATATATATATATATTATTTAAAAAAAACAGAATAGCTGACTGGGTGCTTGGTTGGGAATGAGGAATTGGATCCAAACAAATCTCGCTTGAGGGCTTTTTCCCCTCATTCCCTACTAAGCATCAATCTGACAGTGGAGACTTACCGAAGGTCGGATGTTCATCCGGCAATCCAAACGTCCATCGCCAAACACTGAATCGCATCCGCGACATCTCGGCACCCCAGAGCTTTTGCACATGTGATGTCGACTGCAAATATCCAGTTATAGTAGAGGGAAACAGTCCGTGTCTTGTGGCCCAACTGCGAGGCCTTTCTAAAAACACTGCGCAGTGAACGAAAGAGAGATGATCCACAGAGTGTACTGCGTGCGCCGAAGCTGCTTCAACTCTGCGTGGCAAACTTGTGGGTACCGCCTTTGTGCACTTCGTTGAAAAGAGCTGAACACCCCAGCAATGTGAAAGCGAATCAGATTAACTTAAATAGGAATGTTCAGCCGCTGCGGTCCTAGGTGTTTGGCTTCCACGCACTTTTTGCACTTTACCATCCAAACTTCCACCGCAAATTCAAAGAGAAACTCAAAAGCTCTAGACTCAAAAGCTCTAGACTTGGTTCCTTTAGATCCCCGGTCCCTTGGCATCCTTGGTCATCTATATACTCCCCGCCTCCCCGCTGCTCAGGTTGCCCGCATCATCTAACCGAGCGGCTCTTGTACAAAAGCCCACTGCTCTTGGCCTTCTCCAGGCACCACGCCTATCCAAACCGCCAGGTCGTGAGCCAGGCACCATGCGACGGACATCCATGTGTTTTTGAGGGTAAGAGGACCTCAAACGCTTCAAAGAGGTCTTCGCCCATGTGGTGACAATGGGTGAGATGACCAAAATCCATACGTTGCAGTCTGATCCAATGGGTCTAATATGCCTTCAGACTCTATGGTCGAGGAATGTTGGGGGAAGGATTCCAAACGATGCGCATGGCCAGAAGCAGCAAAGTCTCAAGTTCTTCATTTCACTGGTCCCTACATGTTCTACCTGTCCTGTCCTTCTTTCCGCGTTCCACGCGTGTCCTGTCGCCCCGAGAAACGCCGAAGACCGCGCCGGCAGTGGGAAGTTCACAGTGTCGCCCACATTGCCACCACACTGGTGGAAGGACATCACCGCCTCAATGCGAGGCGGTCCATGTTACCAGGACTTGCATGTGAAGAGTATAACTCTAATATATATATATATATGGTAAGCTCGGACAGCGGGACCGTGGGGGACAACGAAATAGAGCTTCCAACTACTGTAACTACCTTGGTAACCCTGGGTTCTGAGAAGATACGAAGTGCACTCTAATTAGGATCAAACGTTCCAAAACAGGTAGCTACGTAATGCAACCATCTCGATCACCTCCAGGGACTCCAATGATCCGCTACTTACCCTGGTTAGTACGCATTCGTGCCAGAGTTCACCCACGTCCCCTCCGTCCGCAACACATTTCACAAACCGAACCAAGAATCCCAACAAACAAATGGGTTTCAATACCCTAAACATGACATATTGAATTCTCAGAGTTAGACGAATTTTCATGGGGAGAAACATGGTCAAAACATGTCCAAAATAGAGGTCACTCAGGTTCTAGTTATCTATAATTGAAGTACCATATTATATACATTTGTCGACCTTTTGAACACGCCTCCGCATGTGTTCAAGACATGCAGATGGTGGTCCATAATGAAGTACCATATTAAGTATATGTGTTTGTCGCTGAGCCGAAATCGCCCTCTGGCCCAAAGCCTGGAGCTCAAGGCCCAAGGACTGCAACAAGTCACACAGCTCCTCCGGTGAATCTCCCTCAACTGACGTCCGGGGGGGCGATCCCTGAGTCCAAAAACAAACAACACCGCGTCTGGGGGTAGGAAACTCGTGATGAAAGTTGATGAAAGTTCGTCTTGATATGCTACTGGATGTGATTACAGAATGGCTCGCAGTAGGCGGGTGAGCTGGTTCATGGCATTCCGACAGTTTTGGTCAATTTTGCTCTCTATTCGCTTCTATGGAGTGTTTCAGCCTGTTACAGCCTGTTATATAGCGGTTCCAAACAGGTCAGCAACTAACTCCCAAGTCAGCCACACTCAACCCCATCTCAACCCCAGTGCCCAGCTCTCCTTGGCCCCTTGGAAGTGATACTCTTCGGGCTTGGGCTCACCTTGGACGCCACGCGGCTCACACCGGCCCCGGCGGTGGCGCCCTAGCGGATTGGAGTTTTTCCGGGTCTTCAACCCCATGCCATTGTAGATGTGTGTTTTGCCGGGAACTCTCTAAACAGTTCGAACCACCGGTTCCCAAGGCTTGGAGAAAGTGCAGAAGACTGCACGGAGAAGTTCCATCAGTGGTCCTCTTTGGTGCAGTTGTGTAAGTTATGTTAGCTAAGTAAACACGCCTCTTCCATGACTACATAGATTGTCTGTGACATGTGCCAAAGGCACAAGCCAGTACCCTTGGCCTTCGACCTGCCAGAGGACGAATCCTGCCATCAAGTGTCTTGCTATCCGAAACCCTTCATGGCATGAGGCTTTTGCCGTTTTCGGTTATTCTCACTTCTTTCAGGTCTTGCCCCTTGGCGATGCCCTGCATGACTAACGTCAGGTTCACCAGCGGACGAGCCTGGCTAGGGACTTCTGAGGCAGCGGTTCTGGATCTTCAGGGCATAGATTGCGGTTCCATGCGTGCTGACCAGCAAATGAACATGGAACCCCCAAACCACTGAATCATAGATGGAAATTGCCTTCCACAATTCTCAGGGTCCATGTTATCTACTTTGGGGGTGGCTCTGCTACTTGACCCTGGAAGGACCGAGAATCTCGAAGTGTCCTCGCGGTTTCTCTCTTCACTCCCCTCATCTCCCCCCCCCAGTCGAGCGGCACAAGCCCCACCAAATGTCAGCCTGAGAGGACCGATCTGATCGGTTGGAATCGGGAGCCGATGTGATTTCTTGGGTCCAAAACAACACACACACACACACACCCAGGCCTTTTGACCTGCGGATGCTGTGCTCCAAACCTATATCGCAACACACGGACGTCAAATGATGGACCTTGAATTTCCCGTGCACGGCATAGTAAACAAGGCGATCAAAAGCGTCCAAAAACCGCCCTTAAAAGAATCGTGAAGTGGAAAATGGCCCCTGGAAGGACCAGGACCAGGTTTGTTGGAGGAAGGGCGCCCTGCTGGTGCCAACGTCCCGCGTCCCGTGTGAAAAAAATGCAATATGGGCCATAAGTGAGCCATAAGCATCCACCCGACCGATGGGCTATCTCCCAACCAAACCACTGTGGAAAGGCTCTCGCAATGACATCATTGTTCCGATTGAGCGGACTCTGAAGAAAAACAAGAAATTACCTGTACACATAAACTAACTGAACAAACATAGTATAATTATTAGATATGATTCTTTAACACTAAATAATAATATATATATAACATATAGACTAAATAATGTCACATCACTCTACACGGAAGACGGCCTTTTCAGAGGTTGCGCCAG